AGTATGTGTATGTGTGTGTGTGTGTGTGTGTGTGTGTGTGTGTGTGTGTGTGTGTGTGTGTGTATTTCGTGCAGAGAAAGTTTTAAATCGAACCCAGACGGCAGTATCTTAATACGTGTTTATTTACGTAATATATTTATGTGCAACGATTATGAGGATGGATAAGAAAAGCGTCTCACTATATTTATCTCTCCCGGCACACAATATTCCTATTTTTTAATTACTAGAAAAGACATTGTTAACTATACAAGGCTGGCAGCGATATATCTTTTCCTCTTTTCGTTTTCTCCACTGTCATCGATTTACTTCGTTTCTGTTTCCCTCAACCCCGCTCCGTTCTTCTATGGATGCTCTCGTCTTGGTTCGGGATAGTTTTCTACGTTCTGCTCGCTTTACTTCTGCTGGAAGAATTCGGACAACGCCGAAAGAAACGTGAAGAAAAAGTCACAGCCCTCTTTTCAATTTATATAAATATTCTTTTATATTTAAATTATATTTAAGAATATATTGACATTAATCAAGATATTTTTTTAACATGCATGATTGTACCAAGAAAAGCAATAATATTAAATAAATAAATATATATATATATATATATGATATGATATTTTTAAGAGAATTATTACTAAATATTTATCTGAAACGAAATTTTTAGAAAATATTGGAATAAATATTTAAACAAATTCTTGGTAAACAAACCAGTGTAGATAATTGTTTGTTCTGTCCAAGACTATCGTGTAAAACTTACACACTGTTATAAAACACATTGTTTAATAAGCGAATTATCATTGTCTACATCGAGAGGTCGAAAGTTAGCTTAATTATGAGAAACATGCATTCTCAGTATGGCTGTATCTAATCGAGCTCCATGTTTAAGGGGTTGTAAATTAGTGCACTAACCTTGGCGGGATCACGGGCATTGAGATATACGAGACCGATCGCACCTGCGTACGCCAATAAAGTGTCGATCGCCTGCTGTGTCTCCAGCAGGATCCTAGCCTCGTTCATCCAGTCGCTAGCGACGCTTCTGGGCGCACCTTTGAGTAGATTCATGTACCTCATGGTCATCTTGAAGTCGCCGCGATCCAACCAATATCTGAAACAGTGAAGTGGTACATGTTGCAAGGATGAAATGGTCAAAGCCGTAGCAAAACAACGACCTTCTCATTGTTAGGCAGTTCTATTTGTGTTTTCATTCACATAGACGAAGCTTAATAGAGCGTAATAACACATCTACATAAATTCATATTGATTTGTTAATTTCGCACGATATAATCGAACAATTCGTAAACAATGAAGCCGCAATTTGTGAGAAGCAATCAGTGTGGTGGATTTGCTGGCTGATTTCTCTATGACTATTCACGAGTACAAACGGCTGCTGGCTACTTCACTCCATTGGAGTTTCGAGACAGAGAACATACTCGTTCTTCTCTTCCTCCTCCTCTTCCTCTTTCCTTCTCTTCCTTCCTCGTTTATGGAGGAATACCGGAGAGAAATTGCGCGATAGTTTGGTGAAAGGTACTTGCAATGGAATAGTTGGCGACATCCGGTAGCCGGAAGACGCGCTATCGGATACGATCTTCCAAAAGAAAACGCCGATTTAGAGAGAGAGAGAGAGAGAGAGAGAGAGAGAGAGAGAGAGAGAGAGTGTAG